GTAAATTGTGCTGCTATGAACATAGGGGTGCATATATCCTTTCTGATTGGTGTTTCTGGTTTCTTGGGATATATTCCTAGAAGTGGGATCACTGGGTCAAATAGGAGTTCCATTTTTAGTTTTTTTGAGGAAACTCCATACTGTTCTCCACAGTCTGCATTCCCACCAGCAGTGCACGAGGGTACCTTTTTCTCCACATCCTTGCCAGCACTTGTCATTTGTTGATTTGTTGATGATTGCCATTCTGACAGGTGTGAGATGGTACCGCATTGTCATTTTAATTTGCATCTCTTGGATGATAAGTGGCTTTGAGCATGTTTTCATATGTCTTTTGGCCTTTCTCTTTGCTTTTTTCAAAAAGTATCTATTTAGGTCCGTTGCCCATTTTTTGATTGCCTCAGGGTCCAATATCAGTTGCTGAACGGAGATGAGAGTATTTACCATGAAATTCAAAAGGAGAATAAGTGAGGGAATATATGAAATTTGCGCAGCAGAGTCTGAAACACAGTGGGAGTAGAACAACTTTGATCTCTTTCTGAAACACACAATTGCAAAGATGAACAAATACAATTTACTACCGTTGTTTACAATGGATAAGCTATGGACCAGCCAATAATACAGATTTGGTCAACTAGATGATGTTCATTCATATAATGGAAAACAGTTGCAGCCACTAACCATCACAACATTGAGTAACATGAAAAGTATTCACAGCTCGTTAAGGAAAAGAGCAAAATCATTGAATTCTCCAATCACATTGGTGAAGAGACAGAACCAATCAATAATGTTGTGATCCCCTGGCCCTTCTTCCCTGTCTTGTGTCTTCTCTCCCTCCCTGGCCTCCCCTGCAGTTCCTGATACTCCTGTGTCTGATTCCAGGGGAGAACTCTGAGGCTGGCGCCCCCACAGGCTTAGGGGTGGTGAAAAGAGAGCTCCTCATGGAAGTGGTGGGAAACTGCTCCTATAAGGTCATCAACCACTTGGACCACCAGTACAAACCAAAGCCCATAAAGGAGATGCTCAATGCTGGGAAGGAGATGGTTGGTAAGGAGATGGAGTACAGTGACCTGAGCAGGAACTGTGAGCACTTTGTCACGGATCTGAGATATGGCAAAGCCCACAGCCGGCAGGTAAGGCCCTCTCTGGGGGCTCCCTCTCCCTTCTGGAGGTCTGCTTGAAATGGGGGTAATGGGTCTGACTAGCCAGAAGAAAAATTACCCTAAATGATGCAAACATGGGCTCTTGGGGTTCCACTGGCTGGCCGTTAGGTGTTGAGAGCAAAATTCAGGTCTGCTTCTAATCCACTCTGGGTCTGTGGACGGCGCACTTCCTCTCTGGGCCTCAGTTTCCCCATGTGCAGAAGGAGGGATGTTTGGAGGAACTCTGGGGCTCTGGCCACCTCTATCCCTTTAGGATCCTTCGCCTCTAAGATCCACCCTAAAGGCAGCTCGTGATGCCCTGTGTGCTGTCAGGGAAAGTCTGGGCCAACCCTGGACCATGACACGTCGGCTAAGGCTCCAGGGAGCCCTCTAAGGAGCGATGCTCAAGGTCTGTTGCCTATGTAAGGGTTCAAGAAGATTCTTAAGAGAAGACATTGTGCAGCCAATTCCAGCTGAGTGTTCTTGGGCAAGTCTCCCTACCTCTCTAATCCTCACTCCCTATGTGAAGAAATGGGTGCTCCCTCCTCCTCTATCCAACCCAATAATGTAAGATCTGGGCACAGCTTTAACCCCTTCCTCCTTGCCCTTTTACCAACACAAGGTAGTAGGGATTCAACCCCAGTGGTCCCTACTCTTCCTTCTGAACCACAGCACCTCCAGGGCTGGAGGTCCAGTGATTGGGTCTTAGGGGTACCTAGATGGAGGAGAATAAGAGGGGGAGAAGCAGTTTGGGATAGAAATTAGGGATTTCATGCTCAGGTAGGGTGTTTGAGGTGATAATTTAGATACCCAGGTAGCAGTTGGACATGTGAGTCTGGAGTTAAGGGCTGAGGTGGGGCTGAAGATAGAAGTTTCCTGGAGGCACTTGGGAACAGTACACACAGCACAGTGATCCCTGAGGCCATGGTTTCCCATCTTCTCCCCTCAGCTCTGCCACCACCTCCCTCTGCAGAGCTTGAGCCCAGGTAGAGCATGAGCAACAGAGCCATTCCCACTTCCACCACCAGAGCTCTGGCCCTAGCAGCACAGGAGGGTAGCCCCCTCCCCTATGAACCCCAGTCACCACCTAATGGCCTGACCATGGAGGTTCACACAGGCCTTGGAGTGGGTGGGACAGAAGTCTGGGGGTTGGTCAAAAAACCTGGGGTCACATAATTGGGAACAGGATGGTCCTGAATAAAGTCAGGGATGAAAAATGAACAAAAGAAGTGAATTCCAGAGAAGCTTCCAGGCTAAATGACCACTGTTGGATGTTGGCATAGAATGAGGGCAAAGGGAAGCTGGCCCCTGGTCTCAGATTGGGCGGCCTGGGGTGAGCGCTGCAGGAGGTTTGCTGAGGTCAGACAGAAACAGGAAGTTAAACTGGAAAATTCTCAAATCAGGAAGCTGTGGTGCCCTGGGCAGGGACACTGAGGAGCAGGGAGGAGGTGATAAGGAAGGGAAGGAGGGAGGGAGGAAAGGGGACCAGGAATGGTTGGGGCAGAGAAGACCCAGTGCAGCCACTGCCAGCTGAGTGTCCCTGGGCAAGTCCCTCTACCTCTCTGATCCTCAGTTTCCCCAGCTGAGCACGTGGGTGCTGCTTCCTTCCCCTGGGCTTGGGAGGGTGGCAGTTATGGGGGAAATGTGCCCGCAGAGCCTGCTGGGTGACTGTGAGCCCTGTCCCCAGGGCAGGAAGCTGGGCAACAACAGGAGGGCCTTCTCCAATGCTCAGGTGCCCTTAGGGTGCTGTCACCTGCTGTCTGTCAGCTCAGCATCTTCAAGGGTCCGTGTACTGGGGCTGGGAGGGCAGAGTGTGAGGTGGTGGGTGTTGGGGCCATGCACAGCCAGGGCAAACACAGGATGGAGACATGCGGGTCAGTGTGTGAGAGCAGAGAAGCTCAGACTCACCTGGACAATGTTGTGGGGGATGGGCCTGGGACCCAGCCTCAGGGAAGGAGGTTTACATACAGGCTGTTGTGTTAACACCCTCCTGACATATACAATACACCTGCACATGCAAGTCTGCATCCTAGTGTGAGTGTATGTACATGAAACACACAAAATATCTATACACAATACACACAGACACACATACAGTACATACACATTCTGTACACATCTTCACTCTCCCAATGCACAAGGACATTTTTCCAGGCTTCCATTTACTCACAAGGCAACCTCTGGAAGCTACAGCAGGCTGAGGACCTCACAGGGGACTAGAGTCCTCCACACACACACATGCTTCCCATGGGGTGAGCATCAGTAAGCAAATCCCCAGGCGGAGCTGCAGTTCCCAGCCCGAGCCTCTGCAGCTCCCTGAAATCTGTCTCACCTTCCTGGCTGTTTTCTTGCAGATTCGTGAAGAGCCCAAGCCTGGAGACCTGATTGAGATTTCCCGCATTGGCTCCTCGCACTGGGCCCTCTATATGGGCGATGGTTATGTGGTCCACCTGGCTCCCCCAGGTAAGGGGGGTTGAAAGTATAACTTCCAGAGATTTGTTGACATGATGAGAACAATTCAAAGCCAAATGCCACCCTGGGAACCCGTGTGGGTTCTCCCTGGGCAGGGCTTGTGCTCACTGCACATCCGTGTCCCTGGAGGCATCTCAGTGGTTTCCAAGCCCCTCACACAGCACAGAAAGTGGTCCGTGGGCCCCAGTAAAGTCGAGCTATGTCAGCATTAGGAGCTCTTCAGCTCCCTGCTCTTGAGCTGGGCGTGCTGAGAGATTTCATTAAAACAGCCGCGTCTCTGGGCCCCACAGTCTCATAAAGAAGAAGGATCAGTGACAGTGGATGGTCAACTAGATGATGTCCGTGCATATAAGGGAGCACAATAGCAGCCACTGACCATCACAATATTCATTACCTTGAAAAAGTATTCATATCTCATTAAGTAAAAGATTAAAATCCGTGAATCCTCTAATCCAGTGGTTCTCAACCTGTGGGTCGCAAACAATGAACTGCATATCTGCATATCAAATATTTACATTACAATTCATAACAGTAGCAAAATTACAGTTATAACGTAGCAACAAAAATAATTTTATGTTTGGGGGTCACCACAACATGAGGAACTGTATTAAACGGTTGCTGCATTAGGAAGGTTGAGAACCACTGCATCACATTGGTGAAGGGACAGACAGCAAAGCTCAATAGTGTCATCCCTGGCCCTTCCTCCCTGTCTTGTATTACAATTCATAACAGTAGCAAAATTACAGTTATAACGTAGCAACAAAAATAATTTTATGTTTGGGGGTCACCACAACATGAGGAACTGTATTAAACGGTTGCTGCATTAGGAAGGTTGAGAACCACTGCATCACATTGGTGAAGGGACAGACAGCAAAGCTCAATAGTGTCATCCCTGGCCCTTCCTCCCTGTCTTGTGTCTTCTCTCTTCCTCCCTGGCCTCCCCCTGCAGTTCCTGATACTAGTGTGTCTGATTCCAGGGGAGAAGTCTGAGGCTGGATCCCCCACTGGCTTAGGGGAGGTGAAAAGGCAGCTCCTGGTGGAAGTGGTGGGAAACTGCTTCTATAAGGTCAACAACCACTTGGACCACCTGTACAAACCACGCCCCATAAAGGAGATGCTCAGTGCTGGGAAGGAGATGCTTGGTAAGGAGATGGAGTACAGTGATCTGAGCAGGAACTGTGAGCGCTTGGTCACCAATATGAGATACGGCAAGGCCCGCAGCCGGCAGGTAAGGACCTCTCTGGGGGGCTCCTTCTCACTCCTAGACATCTGCTTGGGGGATAGGGGAGGAGAGGGCTTTGCATCCAGAAGAAAAACATACCCTGAATGATGCAAAATTATACTCTCTGCTTCCTGCTGGCTGGGATTCAGGATATCTGAGAAGAAATCTCTGGTCTGTTCCTGATCCACTAGGGGTCTTTGAACAGGTCCCTTCTTCTCTGGCCTCAGTTTCCCCATGTCCAGAAGGAGAGGATGTTGGAGGTCCTCTGGGCTCTGGCCACCTCTATCCCTTTAGGATCCTTCGCCTCTAAGACCCAACCTAAAGGCAGCTCCTGATGCCCAGTGTGCTATCAGGGAAAGTCTGGGCCAACCCGGGACCATGACAGGTCTCCTAAGACCTTAGAAAGCCGTCGGGCAAGAGATGCTCAAGGTCTGTGGCCCATGTAAGAGCTCGAGGACATGTTCTGTAAGGTCTGGGCACATCCTTACTGCTCTCCTCTTTCCCTCTTATTAAAACACAGCTAGTAAGAGGCAGGAGCAGGATTCAATGCAAAGTGCTCCCTGCTCTATCTGCTGAACCACAGCACCTCCAGGGCTCACAGCCCCTGTGATTGGGTGATGGGCAGCCTGGATGGAGGAGATGAGAGAAGGAGGAGGAGGTTTGGGAGGGAAATTAAGGATTTGATGCTCAGGTGGGATGTTAAGGTGACCATTAGACATCCAGGTGGACCTGTTGAGTAGCAGTTGGACTTGTGAGTCTGCGGTTCAGGGCTGAGGTGGGGCTGAAGATAGAATTTTCCAGGCTGCACTTGGGAACAGTACACAGAGCACAGTGATCCCTGAGGGCATGCTTTCCCATTGTCTCCCTTCAGCTCTGCCACCACCTCCCTCTGCAGAGGGAGAGCCCAGGTAGAGCCCAGACCACAGAGCCATTCCCACTTTTACCCCCAGAGCTCTGGCCCCAGGAGCCCAGGCACCAAGCCACCTCCCCTATCCTTTCCCTTCAGGACCAAATGGCCCCACCATGGAGGTTCACACAGGCACTGGAGTGGGTGGGACAGATGTCTGGGGGTTTCTCAGGAAAACATGGGGTCACATAATTGGGAACAGGATGGCCCTGAATGAAGTCATGGGGGAAAGATGAACAAAGAAGTGAATCCCAGAGAAGCTTCCAGGCTAAATGACCACTGTTGGATGTTGGAATGGAATGAGGGCAAAGGGAAGCTGGCCCCTGGTCTCAGATTGGG